TTCCTCATCGCGCAAAGCCTCTTCGTACCAGGATGCGAAGGCACGGGGGACCGTATGATTGATCTTGGCGAAAAACTCCAGGACCCTCATCTTGCTGGTCTCAGCGTGGGCTCTCGGACCCCACAGGAACTCATAGTGTGCTGGATCACTGTGGGGCACCTGGTACTTAAGCTTCACCAAACCTTGGGTGATGAGCGTCTTGGGCTCCCCAAAGATCAAGTGCCTCTTTCCGGCGTACACCCTCATCTTATTCAGAAATTCCCACATCGCCTCCTCAGTGGCGCAGTCGCCGTTCATGAAGATCAGGCCCAGGAGATTCATCAGGAGACCGGTCTTGGGGAATCTGCTGGCTCCGCTAGCCCGCCCATTGTTGGGGAGATCCATTTTGCTGACGAGCATATAGGAATGATGTGGAGAATCAACTTCCTTTAGGTCAGTGCCATATACCACCTCCATGCTGAAAGATGCTCTTTGGTGGATCTCGAGGAAGCGATTTTTGTACTTTTTCCCGACAATCTTCATCATATCTGCTTTCCTAGCCGGCCTTTTCATTTTGTACATCTGCATCAGGACGAGCACCAACATACCGGTCATCTTGCTTAGAGGAGCTCGTGGAGACTGCACTCTGGAAGGTGGGGCCCAGGGGGAACGTTGCTTCTTCTCCATTGTGCAGTTGGCGCCTTGGGATGATCTTGTGCGAGAAACAGCCGCGGACGTGGCGATGGTCGATCGGGCTCTCCAAGGCCCCTTGCCGGGGCTACGTGACCCAGCAGCAGGCTTTCCGTGCACAGTGGCTCCCAAAGGAAGAGGTGGAGAGGAAGGGAGTGCTTTCCCCTTGGCAGCAGAGAGAACCTGGGACGCACCTCGGGCCTGGCGGCCTTTCTCACGGATGCGCGGCTTTCTCGTCTGACCCGGAGGCGTGATGACCGCGGAAACGACAGCAGGCAGGAGTGCGGCTAGGACAGCAGGTGTTCTGGGCACGAGAGGAGAGAGGATGAGGGGGTGCGAGCACCTTCATCAGGGATATGCCACCACGACCTTAAGAAGGCCACCTCTGCAGTTTTCCTTGAGGACAGTGCTCTAGGAAGCCCCAGGGCTCCTGGTCTGATGGACCTGTCCTCTGAGAAATGGATGGAAATCCTGAAAGTGCTCCTCAGGCCTCAGCCAGCCAGTCCTACTTGGTGCTTACAGCGGTGACAGCAACAGCAGGCAGTACATTCCTTGAGGAGCCCCGTCTCCTCTATAGTGTGGGGGTCTTCTCAGTTCACATTCGACACCATCATATCCACTTTGGGCAGGGACTGGGCACCCTCCTCTGTGCAACTCGCAATTTACACCTCGAATGTAGGTCCTCATCTTCTTGGGGCATCTTAAGAGGAACTTCAGGGGCACCTCAAACCACCGCCCCTGCCAGGGGGCACCCACTGCTGACAGATCCTTGGGAATCACTGTCCTGGGCTCCTCAGGCCTCATTCCGGGTCCTCAGCTTCACTCTAGGTAAGGCACGGGATAGCCACAGCTGCTGATCAGACGTCCCTGTAATCAGACAAAGGCTGTCAGGAACACAATACCATCGAAATAAAAGAGGGTTCACCTACACCTGACTTCCATGCCTGGTCCCCTCACTGCTGCAAGGAAGGACGGGGGGCTCTCCTTTGTCTCCTCTGGCTGTGGGGTGATTGGGACCAGCAGTCTTTCTTCAGGGTCCTCACCCGGACTTCTGTGAAGCCCCGGGACGCCTCCTCCCACAGAATCGAGGCCGCTCAATGAGTCTAACACCCTCTCCAGCCTGGGACACTCCAGACAGAAATGACATGGGGGACGGTGGTCCAGCCTGACAGATATTCTGGGGGTCTCTAGGCCCTCCCTCAGGGTCCTCATTTGCTATCTATCAGAGCAGGGGTCTCCTTCCTCCGCTGGCCTGAGCCCACCAGCCTGCACACAAGGCCTTCACCAACCTGCGCTCCAACGGGGACGTCGGGGCCTGCCAAATATGACTTCCCCTGCCTGAAGACTCCCAGAACTGAGAGTAGGGGTGCTGTTTGGTGTTGCCGTCTTTCAGGTGGGGAGAGCCCGTCATTGGCACGCAGGGCCCTCCCCTTGACTCTCCTTAGGGCCGTTGCCCTGATCTGAAGAATCAGAGCTACCGTCTCAGACCAAAGCCTTCCTCCCGGAAACTATGCAGACAGACCTTAGCCAGAGATCTCCGAGAGACCTTCTGCATCGGGTCTCACGGGCGGGATGTTGTTGAGCCACCTAAGGTATGCGGACGGGCTTGGTCCAGTCCGCCCACACTCAGATGCTCACCTTGACTTCAGACCGCAGCTGGGACCCCAGCCTGCCCTGAACCAAAGCTCCGGAAAAGTCCGAGCTCCTAGACTCTGAAGCCAACGTCTGCGTGAGCCAAGTCCGGCGGCAGCTGCCAGACAGAACCTGGCAACACTTAAGGGCGGTCCCTCTGGCCTACCATCCGGGGCGGGGCTCTGTGGGACCCCATGGGCGAGGTCTCGGTGGTCTCTAGACCCTCGCTCGGGGTCCTCACTCAGGGTCCTCGGTCAGAGCCTGGGACTCCTCCTTCGCTGACCCAAGCGCGCCAGGCCCCACACGAAGCCCTCACCGTCCTGAGTCTCCAGGGATGTAGTCAGGACGCTCGGCTTCCGAAGACATCTGCCTGGGGCCTTGCGTGCCCAACGAGCGGGGCGGGACTCTGCGGGGCACCCTCTGCAGGCGAGAGGTCCTCTCCTTGGCGCTGAGTGTCCCCACCCGGACTCCGGTTATGGACACGAATCCCCGCTCTGCAGAAGTGGGACCCGACCCTGTCAGACGAGGCCCTTCCTTCGCTGAAGTCAACCGGGCAGAAGTGCGGCGGCTTAGCAGCCTCGTAGCTGCGGCCGGCGCTTTTCACGGTCGAGGGCAGGATTGGGGATCTTTGAAAGCCCCTCATTTGTGGGACGAGCGATTCCCTGTTTCGTCCGTCCGGGCCCTCACCTCGCTCATGGCCAGTGCCGGGATTCCACCCTCCCTCCTATGCGCTTACTCTGCTCCCACCGAGGTCCATCCCACCCTGAGCCCTCCCAGGCGGAAGTTAGCATGAGCTACATTAGGGCCCGGATGTTTGGGTCCCGACAAGGTGACAGCAGAGTTGTGTCTCTATGGAATGTCACTGTTCTGGAGTCAGTGGTCCCCACATTCCTAATTCGGGATCCTCAACTTGAAATTTCCCCAACCCAGAATCCTCCCTCTCCTGACCCGAGGCCACTGCCCTGAGGCCACGGCTTTCCCCTGGCTGAGAACTCTGAGTGTCCAGGAGTGGATGCTGCCTCTGACCTCTCATTGCTTGGAATTTATTTTGCAGTAAGGACAAAACAAACGTGAATTAAGGGGCACAAAGTTGGCCTCAGGCTGCGGGGAATTGAAGAGTGTGGGCTTTAGACTAAGTCGAATCGAGGGTCTGGTTCCATGCCTGTCACTACCCAGCCATGTGAACTTTGGCAGATTT